CTCTTCCTCGCCCACGGCCTCGGCCTCTACCGCGGCCACGGCCTCTACCGCGGCCACGGCCTCGGGGCGTGTCAATCTGGTAGCTATGGTATCCTGAGAAATTGCGCCCCTCGTGATGCGTATACGTACCGCTCTCACGCGTCTTGTTCTGGACTGGAGGTGTCGCTTGGGCTTTCTCAGTTTTCTCGGTTTTCTCGGCTCGGGATGCCTGTTTCGTCGGCTCGTGCCTCTTTGCTAGTAGCGCCATTTCTTCTTCGTGGGCGACGAAATCCGAGGCTCGATGCAGCGCGTCATGAATTGTTGTCGGTTTAGACAGGTTCAACTCTTTCCTGAATTCTGACTTGTACCAGAGAGCTTTCTTCAAAGCCGAGAGAGCTGCTACATCTGTAATTCCTTCGACTTTGGCTAGCGTTGATTTGAAGGTTTTGAGGAAATCCCTTAATGGCTCGGTGGGCTGTTGAGACAAGGACCATAGATCCGCGTCGGAAGTTCCGGGGTCGATGAGCACGGAGTATTGTTTGAGGAACAATGTCGACAGCTCGTCGAAACTATCAATCGAGTTTCGTTCCAATCTTGAAAACCACTCTAATGCGGGTCCTTTGAGGTGTTCCACGAACAGTAAGCACAGACCTGCATCCTTTTCCCCGGGCTTGAACCTGGCTCGGGCCACAGATATCACAAACGATTTAATGTGGCACTTCGGGTCGGTTGATCCGCTGTAAGAGTCGATTTTGAACTTTCCCAGGTTGGACATCGTCGTCTCAGAAATTCTTTTGGTAAAAGGCGTATTCCGAGATTCTTCCAAAATTCGGTCAATGTTCGGCGCGGAGGATGAGACGCTATGTATCTGGGTTTTGACGAGCTTCATATCGGCTTCTGCCTTGGCTAGGGAGGCCCGGATCTTGCTTAGCTCGTCTTCTCTTTCGGATTCTTCGGCCCACCTTATGTTTTCCTCAGTTTCTTCATCATCAGTGAGATTTGTTCGCTCGGCGGAGTTAGCTCCGGCTCGGGCACGCTCATCTTGCAGATCATCTGGTTCGTCCGTCAAGTCTACTGCATCCGGCTCGGTGGGATCATCTTGGTTCTCGCGCCGGGCAGGGTCGGCTCGGGTTGCGACTCTGGTGTTGCCGGTTGGTGTCGCGAACGTGAGTCTCGTTGGGTTAATACCAGGCAAGTCCCTCCGAGCTCGTGGTGGCCGAGTCTGGAAACGTGTGGTTTTTTGTTGCCCGCGTGTTGCGATTTCGTCGACTCGCAGCGCCAAGGTTTGGTTGGCTTTCTCTTGGTCGTCAGTTTTCTTCTGGAATTTAACCATCAGATCTTTCAGTTCGGCTAGAGTCGCTAGGATCGTCGGATCGGCGGGTTGAGGATTCTGAGGGTTCGGAGGGTTCGGGATTCCTCCTCCAGCTGGTGGCGTCTGACGACCGTCTTCGTTCATCATGCTTTTCGGTAATCGAGTTCTGCGTCTTAGGGTAAGAGAATTCTAAAGTATCCCCACAGACGGCGCCAAACTGTGGAAGTCGAAACTTACACAATCAAGATTTGTCTAGGGTTTTATTTTAGGGATACGATAATCGTGAATTCTCAAAGAACAACAGAAACGATTGAAACCAAAGATGGTGTTCTTGATATTATTAATGAAAAGATGATTTTGATCGTACAAGAGTTTGATCGTAAAAGAAAAAAGGTGTTTGTGCTATGAGAGCTTTGCGTAGTGTAATCTCTAGAGCGATATTGCCTATCCCTTCGTTTGAGCCTTGAGTCTCTTTATATAGGGATGATAAACCGCCTCTCCAGCGATATTCTCGGAAGATTTCCATTTATCTTGAAGTCGGCCAGAATATCGCGGATTAGGACAATTTCCTTATTCTTCGGAGTTTTCGGAAGATTTCCTGATTTGAGTTGATCCTTCGCGATTCTTCCTTATCATTTCCGAGTTTATCGGAAATGATCCTTCTTTTTCGGAAATGATAACTTGCTTGGAAATGATACCTTTAGAGAAGAATATTTACTAAGTCTTTGCTTCGGGCGATAATGAAGACTTCGCCTCGGGGAACTTGTGCAACCGGCTCGGGTACACATGAAGGACTGGCTCGGGCATTCTAGGATGGCTTCTTCGGGTGTCCCCGAGGCGATGGGCTCAGAAACTTCCGAGGCGACCAGGCTCGGATACCCCCGAGGCAATTGGGCTCGGGTGCTTCTGATGTGTTGTTCAGGATATCCTCGAGGCGATGGGCTCGGGTACCCCCGAGGCAATTGGGCTCGGGTGCCTGCGTCGTCTTGTTTAAGTATCCCCGAGGCGATGGGCTCGGGTGCCCCCGAGGCAATTGAGCTCGGGTGCCTTCGTCTTGTTTAAGTATCCCCGAGGCGATGGGCTCGGGTGCCCCCGAGGCAATTGAGCTCGGGTGCCTTCGTCGTCTTGTTTAAGTATCCCCGAGGCGATGGGCTCGGGTATACTAAATCGTTTAGACAGATATCCCGAGGTGAATGATGCGATGCCCCGAGATGATCTTTGAAAGACTCCCAAAGTCTGGCTCGGCGTCAAAGGGTGGAACCCGACCCCAACAGTCCCCCCAATCAACTTCATCGTCTTCCGCTTCCTCCCTCAACTCAGGGAATGTCAGCTCGGGCCTTTACTGCCCAGCGTAAGAAACTCTCCAAGCCGATAGCAGAGGCTTGTGACGAAAACAAGGCGTTCCTTGCGGCCGCCATCGACAAAAAATACTACAGCAGGACCCTGCTGGTTGATGACAACAGCACCGAGGGAGCCAGATCCGTCGCTGCTTTCAGATTAACTCCTCGTCGCGAACGTCGTGACAATCGTTCTCCTCGTCGCGAACGTCGTGACGATCGTTCTCCTCGGAGGGACCGATCTCCTCGTCGTGATTCTCCTCGTCCTCCCCGAGATGATTTTAGCAATGAACCACTTAAGAACTTGGTTCGCAGGAAGAGAGACAAGTCATCTCGTAGTGATTCCTCTCCGCGAAGGGAGAAATCAAGAGCCCGGACTGACCGTTCACCACGATCATCTTCTCCCACTGAACCAATGGGTCCTCCTCGACCTGTTGATATGTCTTCCTCTTCCCAGCCCGAGAGCGAGAAGACTTCCCGGAGTGCATCTCCTAAAAAGGGAGATTCCGAGTCTCGAGATGCTTCTTCGAAGTTAAAGCCTGCTCTTGTCCCTCAAATCAAATCACTTTCAGGTTTGACGATTTACATACGCTTAAGAGTTTTTATCTCTGCTTAGATTCTAATTTTTACAACTCTTCTTCCTTCACAGCTATGGAGAAAGAAGGCAGTGTTTTCCGATGCTTCAAGACCCGATCGGGCGCGATCTTGCCAGATTTTGACAAGTGGCGCCCTGCGATCCGTGAACGCTACTTGCTTCATGCTCATCATTCATCTCGGGTTAGTTCTGCTTTATTTTTCTGATTGTGCTGCCATTTTTTGAACTGACTCGCCATTCCGGTTTTATGTATAATACCAGGCTAACGGCGAGCTTAATGACATGGTTGAGCATTATGAGGGGTTGGTCATTGGTCGGGAAAAGGAGATTGACGCGTGGAAGAAAAAACTTTCTGCTCTTGAAGCTGAACTCCGTTCTTCCACCGGCTCCAAGCATGATCTGGAGGACAAGGTCGATAGTCTAACATCCGAGCTTGCGAAGATAAAGGGGGAGCTGCAGGACCAGTATGATTGGAATTATAAACTCCAGGATGAACTTTCTGGTGTTCAGGGTAGACTTCATGAGTCTGAATCATCCGCCGATACCCTGAACAACTAACTTACCGAGCTTCACGCGAAGTACCAGGCGATCGCCAAGTTGCATGATTTCGAGTTAGCAAGGTCAGTATCGAAGGCCAGAAAGGAGGTTAAGGGACGCAGGATGGAGTTGATCCAAGGGGCCATCCGCTTCATGCAGACTGAGAAGGCTAGGTCAGATTTGGAATCAGACATCAAGGAGCATGAGAGCAACCTGATTCTGTTGGATCAAATCCATGAAACAGATTTCTCCGAGGAGCAAGAAAGGACCGAACTGTCGGCTAATCTTTCAGAAAAGCGGAGTCGCTTGGCAGCTCTTCCTACTTCGACCTTCAACCCGCAGGACTTCGAGGAATTCTTCACTGAATCGCCTCCTATAAGTGAATCGGGTCTAGACTGGACAGGTAACGCTTGGCTCCCGACACTTACTACCTTTTTCTCACCTTAATTTTTTTAAAAAAATTGACTGGAACTATCCTTCCTAGGCTCAAGTGAGACGGAAGATGTCGTCCCACCCGAAGTTCCTGCGGCACCGGCGGTCACCCTGGAGGATGGTTGTACTATGGAGGGCGGACCAGGAGCCCCATATGACCAAGCGCCAGCCAAGGAGGTGAATGAAACTTCGACTGCCGAGCCGGAGTCCGAGGTGGCTGTTAATCCGTAGTGGCTGCGTCCACTTTAAATTGGGGATTGTCTCATTTATTTTAAAACTTAATTTTGAACTTGTTTTTGCCTAAGGAGGCTTTATTATTTCTTTTGAACAAGATATTTGCCTGAGGAGGCTTTTAAACCTTTCTAGGTTTTGACCCCAAGGGGGTTTGGTTAAAATTATGTGCGGGTTTGCAAAGTCCGCTTTTAACCTTTTGTGGCCTTGTGGTTATGCTTTCGAGATTTTTAGGCTGATCAGACCTTTCTCTTTAGAATGCGAGAACTGAGCTCGGCTTAACGCGAGTTCCCCACTTCGGGTTTAGTCAACTCGGCAAATTTATTGGGCTTGGGCCTTAGAAACTTTTGTAGTTAATGCGACGGTTGCTCTTTCCCTTCTTATTTCTTGAAAGTAGGAAAAGCGGCTCGTCTTTAATGCAATAATTGTCTTTTCTCGATTTTCCAAAAATGGTTTAAACCACTAGGGAACGCCACCATTATTGAATTTTCATTCCCAAGGCAAACCTTAACCCTATTATAAATAGGAGTTTGTCCGGCTTTGATCTTTCCTCAAGAAACTTCATAACATCATATTAATGGAAAACGAAAACATAGCTCTTATTGATCCCGGCAGCCCACTCTTCTTGTCCGGCGACGGCTTTGAACCGGCCGGCGTTCTTTTCCCTCACGCCGTCTTTCACTTTCCTTCAAAGGAGAAGAAAGAGGCTTGCGACTTTATTGACAAGGTTAATATCTGTCGTCTTTGATTAAAAACTTTTGTTTCATCTTTATGCTAGGTCGCCGACAAACACCGTCGCTTGTGTGAAGAGAGACAGCGGCTAGGCCTCAAAAGGCAAACACTCGAGGCTCGCATTGCTCGGGTGGATAGGAAGATACGGGCTTTGGAAAGTGACCCCTTTCAATGGGAATGGCGGAACTTTGATTCTGTCGCTAAGATCCCGAAGATGCTCCGGATGTATCTCCGTGCTAAAGGAGTTCCGGGTCCCGTGAATGTTCCGGTCCATACCGTTCCATCCGATAGCGAGGAAGAAGACGAGGAGGAGACCAGCACCAGTCGGAAACGCGTTCGGGATCATCCCGAAGTGGATGCCAAGAACAAGGCGTCCACTTCGAAAACTAAACCGGCGATGAAGGAGCCTGTTCCTGAGCCTCTTCCATAAATGTTCTCTAATTTCTTCACTTATTTTGAACTCGTAATGGGCTTCGGCCCCTTTTTAATTATGGAAACATTTGCAATTTTCCTTACTCTTCAAATATTCTCGGAGATGCGTCTTTTAATGCAGGATCGGTTCAAGGGCATAAATCTTTTCGCGAATCACTCCATTATTAGGATAGAATCCGCAGCTTCCTAGGAATATGACATTCCTATAAATTATAGTCTCAACTTCTCTTTTCTCCTTACCACTCTTTTTCATTTTAGCAGGTATGGAGTTCAACCTTCGATGTTCAGAATCTATGCCCGACTTCTCCAGGATCGGAATGATAAACGAAGATGCCGGAAATGAGCCAAATAGGCGGCCTCTTCCACCTCGCGACTTCTTAAGATCCCAGATCCGAGCTCCATGTGCTTTGATCAGGGATCTCCCAATCAGAGACCAAGGAACAGCGATGGCGTTTATAGAGGCACTTGCGTTTCAACATCGGAAGCTTACGTTGGAAAAGAGGAGACTCCGAAAGAAGATTAATCGGATGCAGCGCAGGCTTACTACGGTGTCAAGAGACCTTCACGTCCTTGAATCTCACCCTGGAGAATGGGTCGAGCTTGGAATCTCTGACTTCGCTCGAATTCCGGACTGCATGATGCCAATCCTCGACCTTGCTGGTCAAGGAGTTGAAGTATTCTGCTCGTCAACAAGATCTCCATAACCCGAAGTGTTCGATGAGGGATATTCCATTTTGAATAAACGCTCTATTTCCAATCTCTTGTATGTTCGCATAGCCGAACCTTTTCCTTTAATAAAGAAATAAAACAAATTTTTATTAATAGCTGAACTCGTTTCCGAGCTGCCTACGTACCCATTTCGGGATCAAGCCACACCGTAGTTCATGTACATAAAAAATGCATGTAGCTTTAAACATAAAACTTCTTTAGGTTGATCACATTCCAAGGTCGCTTGACTGGACTGTCTTCTAAGTCTTTCAACCTATAAACACCGTTCTGAACCACTTCGGTAATAATGTAAGGTCCTTCCCAATTAATACTGAGTTTACCGGCACCTTCTTCTTTTTTGTTGTCAAAGACGCGCCTTAACACATAATCTCCCACGAAGAACGGCCTACTTTTAACTTTAGAATTGTAATATCGGGTTGCTGCCTGCTGGTAATTCTGAATCCGAATCAAAGCTTGATCACGCCTTTCATTTATGGTATCTAGTGAATCATTAAGCATTGCTGAATTTTCTTCCTCATTTAATGGTGCTTCCGTTCGGCGAAGTCAGGGCACGTTGAGTTCAGCTGGTACTACTGCCTCCATGCCATAAACCAAAGAGAATGGAGTTTCTCCGGTAGGTCGCCTAGGGGTTGTACGATAGGCCCATAGGACGGGTTGGAGTTCTTCGTACCATCCTCCCTTTAGATGATTCAAACGTTTCTTGAGATTGCTCAATATCGTCTTGTTCGCGGCTTCAGCTTGACCGTTTCCTTGCGGATATCGTGGAGTAGAGTAATTGACTTTGATTCCCCAGTCCGCACAAAAGGCATCAAACTCTTGTGAAAGGAATTATGGCCCGTTATCGGTGACTATTTCATATGGAACTCCATGTCGACATATAATATTCTTCCAAATGAAAGCCTTTACCGCTGAATTCTTGATGCCAACATATGCCTCAGCTTCAATCCACTTCGAAAAGTAGTCCGTCAAGACCAAAAGGTATTGTACACCTCGAGTTGATCTGTGCAATGGTCCAATGATGTCCATTGACCATCTCATAAACGGGTACGGGGCGGAGATGGAAGAGAATAACTCCGAAGGTTGATGGATCAATGGTGCATGGAGTTGGCAGCGCTTACATCTTTGGGCAAATTTAACACAATCCGTGATCATAGTGGGCCAATAGTATCCCATTCTTTTAACTTTAAAAGCCATAGCTCTTCCTGATGAATGACTCCCAAATAATTCTTCATGCACTTCGCTCATGATGATTTCGACTTCGGGCCCAAAAATGCATAATAGGTAAGGGTCACTGACACCTCGTCTATATAATGCATCCTTTGATAGACAAAATTTCGCGCTAACGATTTTCATTTTCTTGGCCTGCCACTTATTCTTTGGGAGCTCGCCTGTCATGATGTAGTGCTTTATTGGCTCCCTCCAGTCAGCCCCCCAGTCTTTAGTCGGAATTTGGTCAACCTTGTGAAATACTCGTGGCTCCGGTTCGGGATGTTCGTTTGGTTCAAGAACATCCTCCTCGATTAACGGCTCGGTTTCTAATATCGTTTCTGGAATCACATCATCTGTTAAGACAACGGGTTCCTTGGTAAATGTGTTTGATCCCCTTGACTTCCTCCGTTTGTTGGGCGGAGGTTCGATCTCTGGTTCGCCACGGTCACGTGCCGCTGCTCGAGACCTTGTAACGACGAGGGTTTCTTTGTTGTCTTGAATGCTTCGCTCCGAAATGCATTCTACTGGAATAACTCTTTTCAACTCAGGATCTGATGTTGATGCCAATGCGGCAAGTGCGTCCGCAGTTGTATTCTCCCCCCCCCCGAGGTATGCGGATTAATTCGAATTTCGAGAAATTTTTAGATAGATCCTTCACCACTTCGAGGTACGCTTCCATTCTTGAATCCTTGGCTTCATAGTCTCCATTAAACTGGTTAACTACTAATTGCGAATCACAATAAGCCAATATTTCCTTAGCTCCAACTCCTTGTGCCAATCGAAGTCCGGCAATCAGGGCTTCGTATTCTGCCTCGTTGTTGGAGGCATTGAATAACAATCGGAATGACTGTTCTAGAATTTCTGATGTTGGAGACTCCAACTTGATTCCCACTCCGGATCCTTGCTTTGTTGAAGACCCATCTACATGTAATTTCCAAGTTTGGTTCTCCGATTGCTCTATCGTTCCAGGTATTGGTAGCTCGGTCAAGAAGTCTGCTAAAACCTGAGCCTTCATACTGATCCGGCTTTTGAATTCTATATCGTACTCGCTTAATTCCACCGCCCATTTCGCCAAACGTCCGGACTGACTTGGACTATGAAGTATTGTTCGGAGTGGCTGGTTGGTTAATACTTCAACCGGATGGGATTTAAAATATGGGCGCAGCTTCCGAGCCGAAGTCACCACCGCGAGTGCGAGTTTTTCCATCATTGTGTGTCTGGTTTCCGGATCCGTCATTGACTTGCTTACGTAGTAAATTGGCTTCTGCTCCCCGCGGTCTTCCCGAACCAAGACTCCACTAACCGCGTGGTTTGAAACCGACACGTACAAATAAAGTTTTTCATCCACTTCTGGTTTGGACAATATAGGTGGAGTGGTTAAGTATGCCTTAAGCTGCCCAAAAGCTTCTTCACACTTCTTATCCCAAAGGAATCCTTTGTTTCCTTTTAGAATTTGGTAGAAAGGTAACGACTTATCTGTTGATCTCGAGATAAAACGATTCAAAGCCGCAATCCGCCCAGTCAAACGTTGTACTTCCTTAAAGTTTCTTGGAGATGGCATGTTTAGAAAGGCGTTAATTTGATTTGGATTGGCTTCAATCCCTCTTTCTGTCACGATATAGCCAAGAAATTCTCCGGATGGGACTCCAAATGTGCACTTCGCCGGGTTCAGCTTCATTTGATATTTATTGAGAATATCAAAACATTCCTCTAAATGCTTAACGTGATCTTCTTTCTTTAACGATTTAACTAACATATCATCTATGTAGACTTCCATTGTTTTCCCGAGATGATGGTGGAACATTTTATTAACCAACCGTTGATAAGTTGCCCCTGCATTTTTCAAACCGAAAGGCATTACCTTATAACAATAGATACCTCTATCAGTGATAAATGACGTTTTTTCTTGGTCTTCGGGGTTCATCATTATTTGATTATAACCCGAGAAGGCGTCCATGAATGTTAACAGCTCATTCCCAGCGGTGGATTCTACAAGTCGATCTATATGCGGGAGCGGGAAACTGTCTTTGGGACATGCTTTATTGAGGTCTGTGAAGTCGATGCAAACCCTATCTTTCCCATTCTTCTTCTTGACAACGACAGTGTTTGCTACCCACTCCGGGTATTGCACTTCTCTTATGGACCCTATTTTCAAAAGTTTATCTACTTCGTCATTTACTATTTTTGCTCGCTCCACTCCGAGCTTTCTCCTTTTTTGTTTCACCGGCTTGAAGCTTGGATCCACGTTTAGTTCATGACAAATTATGCTTGGATCTATGCCGGGCATATCTGCCGCTGACCATGCGAATGATGTTATGTTTTTTCTCAAAAGTTCGATCAAAGCTTCTTTTATTTGGCCAGTCAAAGTTGCCCAAATTCGAATTTTCCGGTCCGGTTTGTCTTCTTCCAACACCACTTCAATTACTACATCATCTTTTTTCTGCCCGCTAGGTAATTTTGTTCTTAGTCCCTCTTTTGCGGGCTTTGTTAATTGCTATTGAATCTTCATACGGTGGCTAGCTAGATAACACGTCCGTGAAGCTTCTTGATCTCCCCGAATTGTTTCCACTCCTCTTGATGTTGGAAATTTGATACATTGATGATATGTAGAGGGGACTGCTTTCATTTGATAAATCCAGGGAGTCCCGAGGATGATGTTGTAAGCTGCGGGCTTATCGAAGACAACGAAGTCCACGATCTTTGATACCTTTTTGGCAAGGACCGGTAGCTTGAGTGTCCCAAGAGACATGGCTGACTCACTTGTGAATGCAACTAATGGAGACGGAGGTCCTACTATGTCCGCCCGACTAATTCCCATTCTTTCTAAGGTACTTAAAAAGATCAAGTCGACCGAACTGCCTGTATCTATAAGGATCCTTGATACTTCAAAGTTGGCAACGTCTAGGGTAATGACTAGGGCATCATCATGAGGTCTTTCGAGGTGCCGCGTTTCTTCTTCATAAAATGATATTGATGCACCTTGAAAATCGACTTCTTCGCTCAAGCTTGCTTTGAGTAGGACATTTCGTCTATGTTTCTTGATGGAACTTATCGAATCTC